CCCCCAGTCTTAGTCCGTAGGGTTCAATATTGAGTTGGCCCCGCCCTTTGCAGCTATAACAGCTTCAACTCTTCTGGGAAGGCCGTCCACAAGGTTTAGGAGGGTGTCTATGGGAAGGTTGGACCATTCTTCCAGAAGCACATTTGTCAGGTCAGGCACTGATGTCGGGGGAGGAGGCCTGGCTCGCAGTCTCCGCTCTAATTCATCCCAAAGGTGTTCTGGGGTTGAGGTCAGGACTCTGTGCAGGACAGTCAAGTTCCTCCACCCCAAACTGGCTCCTCCATGTCTTTAGGGACCTTGCTTTGTGCACTGGTGGGCAGTCATGTTGGAACAGGAAGGGCCATCCCCAACTCTTCTCACAAAGTTGGGAGCATGAAATTGTCCAAAATGTCGCCTTAAGAGTTCCCTTCACTGGAACTAGGGGGCCAAGCCCAACCCCTGAAAAACAACCCCACACCATAATCCCCCCTCCACCAAACTTTACACTTGGCACAATGTAGTCAGGCAAGTACCATTCTCCTGGCAACCGCCAAACCCAGACACGTCCATTGGATTGCCAGACAGAGAAGCGTGATTGGTCACTCCAGAGAACACGTCTCCACTGCTCTAGAGTCCAGTGGCCGCGTGCTTTACACCACGGCATCCGACGCTTTGCATTGCACTTGGTGATGGAAGGCTTGGATGCAGCTGCTCGGCCATGGAAACCCATTCCATGAAGCTCTCTACACACTGTTGTTGGGCTCATCTGAAGGCCACACCAAGTTTGGAGGTCTTTAGCTATTGACTCTGCAGACAGTTGGCGACTTCTGCGCACTGTGCGCTTCAGCATGCGCTGACCCCGCCCTGTCATGTGACGTGGCCTACCACTTGGTGGCTGAGTGGCTGTTGTTCCCAGTTGCTTCCACTTTGTTATAATCCCACTAACAGTTGAGCGTGGAATATTTAGTAGCCAGGAAATGTCACGGATGGACTTATTGCCCAGGTGGCCACCTATCACGGGATCACGCTTGGAGTCACTGAGCTCCTGAGAGCGACCCATTCTTTCACCAATGTTTGTAGAAGCAGTCTGCATGCCTAGGGGCTTGATTGTATACACCTGTGTCCATGGAGGGGATTGGAACACCTGAATCACATGATATGGAGAGGATTGGAACACCTGAATCACATGATATGGAGAGGATTGGAAGGATTTGGTGGGCTGGCCCAATACTTTTGGCAATATAGTGTGTGTGTATATATATATATATATATACACACACACACATATATAGTGTGAAGGAAATGCGTATTTGCTCCCCGGCTGATGCTGAATGTTCGCCCCTCACACAGAAATGATCGGTCTAACAATGGAATGTTCGGTGTAACACTGAGAGACAGAATACAACAACAAATTCAGCAGAAATGCGTCTAACAAATGATGACTGATCTGCATGTTCATGAGGGAAAGAAGGATTTGATCCCCTATCATTCAGCAGGATTTCTGGCTCCCAGGTGTCTCTCATACAGGTAACAAGCTGAGATTAGAAGCAGTCTCTTAAAGGGAGTGCTGCTAATCTCATTGTGTTACCTGTATAAAAGACACCTGTCCACAGGAGCCATCAAACCATCAGATTCCAAACTCTCCACCATGGCAAAGACCAAAGAGCTGTCCAAGGATGTCAGGGACAAGATGGTAGACCTACACAAGGCTGGACTGGGCTACCAAACTATGGCCAAGCAGCTTGGTGAGAAGGTGACAACAGTTGGTGCAATCATTCACAAATGGAAGAAACACAAAACAAGTGTCAGTCTCCCTAGGTCTGGTGCACCATGCAAGATCTCCCCTCGTGGAGTGTCAATGATCATGAGAACAGTGAGGAATCATCCCAGAACTACACGTGAGGATCTTGTCAATGATCTCCAGGCAGCTGGGACCACAGTCACCAAGAAAACAATTGTAACACACACTACGCCGACAAGGACTGAAATCCTGCAGTGCCCGCAAGGTCCCTCTGCTCAAGAAAGCCCATGTCCAGGCCCGGCTGAAGTCTGCCACTGAACATCTGAATGATGCAGAGGAGGACTGGTGGGAAGTGTTGTGGTCAGATGAGACCAAAATCCAGCTCTTTGGCATCAACTCAACTCGCCGTGTTTGGAGGAGGAGGAATGCTGCCTATGACCCCAAGAACACCATCCCAACTGTGAAACATGGTGGTGGAAACATTCTGCATTGGGGGTGTTGCTCTGCTAAGGGGACAGGACAACTGCACCGCATCAAAGGGACGATGGACGGGGCAATGTACCATCAAATCTTGGGTGAGAACCTTCCTCCCTCAGCCAGGGCATTGAAAATGGGTGGTGGATGGGTGTTCCAGCATGACAATGACCCAAAACACACGGCCAAGGCAACAAAGGAGCGGCTCAAGAAGAAGCACATTAAGGTCCTGGAGTGGCCTAGCCAGTCTCCGACCTTCATCCGATTGAAAATCTGTGGAGGGAGCTGAAAGTTCGAGTTGCCAAACGTCAGCCACCAAACCTTAATGACTTGGAGAGGATCTGCCAAGAGGAGTGGGCCAAAATCCTTCCTGAGATGTGTGCAAACCTGGGGGCCAACTCCAGGACACGTCTGACCTCTGTGATTGCCAACAAGGGATTGGCCACCAAGTACTAAGTCATGTTTTGTGAAGGGGATCAAATCGTTATGTCCCTCATGAACATGCAGATCAGTCATCATTTGTTAGACGCATTTCTGCTGAATTTGTTGTTGTATTCTGTCTCTCTGTGTTACACCGAACATTCCATTGTTAGACCGATCATTTCTGTGTGAGGGGCGAACATTCCATTGTTAGACCGATCATTTCTGTGTGAGGGGCGAACATTCCATTGTTAGACCGATCATTTCTGTGTGAGGGGCGAACATTCCATTGTTAGACCGATCATTTCTGTGTGAGGGGCGAACATTCCATTGTTAGACCGATCATTTCTGTGTGAGGGGCGAACATTCAGCATCAGCAGGGGAGCAAATACGCATTTCCTTCACTGTATACACACACACACTGTATATATACAGTATTGTGCAAAAGTTATAGGCAGGTGTGAAGAAATGCTGTTCAGTAAGAATGCTTTCAGAAATAGAGGAGTTAGACAAAAATATGGAAACCCTCCATGATTGGCAAGTGCGGAAAGTGACGCCATGTTTTTGCGCTAAAAGCGGAAATTATGTAACTTTTTTGCTTCCGCTGTGTGATGAGACACCTAGCCGACAGGTGGGAAGCCTCACTTTCCTCATTCACTGCGTGCGTTGCTGGTAATACGGAGGCACGTCGGAGCTTACTGAGCTTCAATGACGGCAGATTGTTGGTGTCGCTTAGCTGGTGTCACCAATTTATTTGCCGTGTGGCAAGGTCCAGTATCAAAGGTTAGGACGGCGTATACAGTTTCCGGGAAAATGTTGTCTGAGAAGCATAAGCGCGGTCGCCATGGTCAACTGACCGAAAGAGACAAAAGGACATTGTGCAGGATTGAGACCCGGAATAAGAACACGACGGCTGCAAAAGTGACTGCAGAGCTCAATCTCAGTCCCGTGACAACGGAGTCCTGTGAAGACTGAGATATAAAACATATTTTTCTATGACGGCACATTGTTGCCCATAGTTGGGGGTGGGGTTGATGTTTATGATGAAAATGGTTCCCAAATATTTTTTTTTTAACTCCAACTGTCATGTTTCTGCTGCCACGGTGCTGTAATGTCATTGCAAATTCAGGTGCGCCCTCTACTGGCTAAGAAGTGGTATTTGATAGGCAGCACTCCACGTGCCACAAAGCCTTGGATTCTGCGAATGGGGGAGGGATGTGCGATTCTGGAATTTAAACGGATTTTTTTTTTTTTTTTTTTTTTTTAAAGGTAAATGATAGAAATGTAACCGGCAGTGTGAGGGGGACATATTGATAGATTATCATGCTACCACCTCTACAAATTATATTGTATGTAGCACGCAGGGGCGGACTGACAACTCATGGGGCCCCTGGGCAATAGGGGATCATGGGGCCCCCGTGTCCTTGCCCAAACAAAAAAAGCCTATGAAAAAGGTACCAGGGGCATCTCATGGGGTCCCCTACTGACCCCGGGCCCTCAGGCAGTGCCCGAGTTTCCAAATTGTCAGTCCGCCCCTGGTAGCACGGTAAAGCCTTAGTACAGAAGGTAGTCACATGTCTCATTCTATCCCCAAAATAAGAGGATTATTCCTCATTTCAGGACAGTGGGCGGAGCCATGCAATTATTATTATTATTATTACAGTATTTATAAAGCACCGATAGTTCGCTCAGCGCTGTACATTACAGAGGGGGACAGAACATGTGACAGAACAATACCAATACAATGCAAAACATGAGGGGATCGAGGGCCCTGCTCTTTCGAGGTTACAATCTAGGAGGGAGGGGATGGTGGCACAGGAGGAGATAGTTGTGGGGGATGGTGGTGGTGGGAGGAGTGAAGGAGGTCGGCAGGTTAGCAGGGGGTGGGGTAGGCTTCCCTGAAGAGATGGGTTTTCAGGGTGCGCCTAAAGGAGAGGAGAGTAGGTGATAATCTGATGGGTTGGGGCAGGGAGTTCCAGAGGATGGGTGACACCCTGGAGAAGTCCTGGAGGCGGGCATGGGAGGAGGAGACCAGGGAACTATAGGGAGAAGGAGGTCTTGTGAGGAGCGGAGTGTGCGTGTTGGGCAGTACTTGGATATTAGGTCAGTGATGTAGTTCGGGGCAGTATGGTGGACGGCTTTGTACGTCAGTGTTAGGATTTTGAATTTGATCCGTTGCGCAATCGGAAGCCAGTGGAGGGATTGGCAGAGGGGGGTGGAGGACACTGAGTGGAGGTCAGTGAAGGATTGGCAGAGAGGGATGGAAGACACTGAGTGGAGGTCAGTGGAGGGATTGGCAGAGAGGGGTGGAGGACACTGAGTGGAGACCAGTGGAGGGATTGGCAGAGGGGGGTGGAGGACACTGAATGGAGGCCAGTGGAGGGATTGGCAGAGGGGGTGGAGGACACTGAGTGGAGGCCAGTGGAGGGATTGGCAGAGGGGGGTGGCGGACACTGAGTGGAGGCCAGTGGAGGGATTGGCAGAGGGGGGTGGCGGAAACGGAGCGGTTGGAAAGGTGGATGAATCTGGCAGCCGTATTCAGGATGGACTGAAGCGGGGATAGCCAGCGGCGAGGCAGGTCAGTGAGGAGGGAGTTGCAGTAGTCGAGTCGTGATATGATGAGGGAGTGGATGAGCTGTTTAGTGGTTTCTGGGGTTAGGAACGTGTGGATTTTGGCGATGTTGCGGAGGTGGAGTCTGCATGTTGCGGAGGTGGAGTCTGCACGAGTTTGTTAAAGATTGGAAATCATTCCTTTATGTCCCCCTACAGCAAAATGCACATCCAGAACTGCTGCTATATATTGTGAATACAGCCTGATACAGAGCCATCTATCGGCCATTATTAGTGCACCGTATGGAAGCCATGGGTTCTGTGGAGTAGGACCCAACTAAAAATTGATGAAAAGGTTAATGCTGGCTCTGATGAAAAGGTGTCAGAACACACCGAGCAGTGCAGTTTGTTGTGTATGGGGCTGCGGAGCCGCAGACAGGTCAAGGTGCCCATGCTGACCTATGTCCACATCCAAACATGCCTACAATGGGCATCAGAACTGGACCACAGAGATTTGGAAGGAGGTGGCCTGGTCTGATGAATTCAAGAATGGTTTGAGGAACACAAGTTCAAAGTGTTGACTTGGCCTCCAATTAATCCTGATCTCCAGTATCTGTAGGATGTGCTGAAAAAAAATAGTCAGATTCAAGGAGGTCCCACCTCCCAATTTATAGGAATTAAAGGATCTGCTACTGATGGCTTGGTGCCAGATACCACATGATACCTTCAGCGGTCTAGTGGAGTCCATGACTGATGAATTCAAGAATGGTTTGAGGAACACAAGTTCGAAGTATTAAACAGTAAATCTCAAGACAAGTGAGCGCTTAAAACAACTTATAAAATCAATAAGTGAACAAAATTAAACCGAGAAAATAGCAGCTGAACACCAAAAAAGGTACCATAAAAACCTTCACAATAATCAGAATGCATAAAAGGGAGAGGTGCAGCGCTAACTTGATAAATATACACTTATATAATTATATAAACCAATGTTAAGGTGCTGTTAAAGTGCAAAACGGTGACTAAAATAAGTATAGTCCATAACGTGTTCAAAACGTGTTCAAAACCCAAGAGAGTCTTCAAAAAGCTCCAATGCCTGGATTTGTGGATGAGGTGATAAAGGTATAAAGATTGCGCACTCACCAGATACGCAATCCAAATGCGCATTCAAAGCAGATAATCCTAGGGTCCTCATATGCATATGGATCTGGTCAGATCTGGTCACAAAAGCCCCTCGTCACTTGATGGTGTTTGCCACGCATAGAAGAAAAAAGGGCCGCTCTGCAGATGTAAAGGGCTCCCACCGGAGCCCAAAGAACAAAGGAGGCCAAATAGTGTGATACCTTCTCTGTGCAGTGGTTTTTTTTTTTTTTTTTTTTGCACAGAGAAGGTATCACACTATTTGGCCTCCTTTGTTCTTTGGGCTCCGGTGGGAGCCCTTTACATCTGCAGAGCGGCCTTTTTTTTCTATGCGTGGCAAACACCATCAAGTGACGAGGGGCTTTTGTGACCAGATCTGACCAGATCCATATGAGGACCCTAGGATTATCTGCTTTGAATGCGCATTTGGATTGCGTATCTGGTGAGTGCGCAATCTTTATACCTTTATCACCTCATCCACGAATCCAGGCATTGGAGCTTTTTGAAGACTCTCTTGGGTTTTGAACACGTTTTGAACACGTTATGGACTATACTTATTTTAGTCACCGTTTTGCACTTTAACAGCACCTTAACATTGGTTTATATAATTATATAAGTGTATATTTATCAAGTTAGCGCTGCACCTCTCCCTTTTATGCATTCAAGTTCGAAGTATTGACTTGGCCTCCAATTAATCCAGATCTCACTCTAATTGAGTATCTGTGGGATGTGCTGAAAAAAAAATAGTCAGATTCATGGAAGTCCCACCTCCCAACTTATAGGAATTAAAGGATCTGCTACTGACGGCTTGGTGCCAGATACCACATGATACCTTCAGCGGTCTAGTGGAGTCCATGCTGGACAGGTTATGGTGGGTGGTTATAATGTTATGGCTGATCAGTATATTTTGTAACAAATTGTTGACTGCCATACATATATATCCAGCCTGTTACCAAATGGTTAAATGGGTGTGACATCATCATGGCCCGGCCATTCAAGTGGCCCGACAACACAAACCCAGAATGAAGATGGAGAGAAAATTGAAGTGTCCAAGAACCAACATGCAGTGCTGGAGGGCTTCCTTTGACAGGTAAGTCTGCATAAAGGCATTTTCTTCCTGGAGGCCCATTTAGAACATTTTTTTTTTTAAATTACATTTGTTTAAAAAAAAAAAAAAAAAAAAAAACATTTACACCAGTTTTAAGGATTTATTGGAAAAAAAGTGCTGTGATGTCACTCTGAACTGCCAGAACATGACACAAAGGTAGAGAGACAAGTGACGGTTAAAAATACTTTGAAGAGCAGTTAACGGACAACTGGGAGACCAGCAGAGGACAGCTCAGTTCTCGTACAGCCAATGTTGGGCACAGCTGCTGTACTCAACCAGTTCATCGTCTTTGAACCACAAGGCAATCTCTGTCTTGGCACTTTCCACGGAGTCACTGCCGTGACAGATGTTCCTTCCAACCTGTATGCAGAGGCTCCCCTGATGGTGTCAGGTTTGGAATCAACTGGGTTGGTCTCACCAAGCATGACACGGCCAGTCTTTCACCACATTCATTTCCTGCCAGACCATGGCTACCACAGGGCCAGAGCCAATGTGCTCAACCAGTGCATCGAAGAAGGGATGGTCCTTCAGGGCAATGTAGTGCTGCTGAAATTGTTCTTTGCTGGCCTGAATAAACTTCGTGGCCACCAACCGGAAGCCCTTCTGCTCGAAGCATTTGATGATATCTCCAATGAGGCCTCTCTGGACACCATCTGGCTTGATGGCGATGAAGGTGTATTCCTTTTCGGCAACCATCTTCCACACGGGGAAACAGGAAGAGAAAGAAGAGCCATTTAGAACATTTTTAGTGGAATATATTAACACTTTAAATTAAAACCTATCAACTTTTTTTTTTTTTCCAACATTTCTGTCCTATTGGGGGGGGGGGGGGGGGGATTTCCTCTTCACTCTCTGCCCCTTCACGAAGTGAGAAGAAATCCCTTCTTAGACAGTTGTCACCAGAACAAGTGTCCCTACTGAAAGATTTCCCTTCTGTTCCTGTTCCAGAAATTTTGGATTTTCCATGTCAGTTCCGGTGACATTGGTCGCCAAGAAACAGACTGAACATGAATATAGATGGCAAGAACACTCACAATCGGTATTCCAATTCATCCCAAAGGTGTTCTGTAAGGTTGAGGTCAGGATTCTATGGAGGACACTTGAGTTCCTCCACACCAAACTGCTCAAACCATATCTCGTATGCCTTGATGTTTGGCTGAGAAGAACTTGGGGTTCCAATCCATTTTTAAGATGTTCAGTATGGTTGAGATTGTGGGGATAGGTGAGGAATGCCATGATAGAATAGATGGTCTTGGAATCTCTGGCTGGTTGAAGAACTATCACTTTATTAGTGTGCAACCTCAACATGGCCAAAGCTTCTTAGGGAATTGGGCTCTCCCTTCTTCAGCACTTCGGTAGTGTTGGGTCTGTTGGTGGTCGGAAGCATGCATTGCCTGCAGCTATAACATTCTCCACTATTCTGAGAAGGCCTTCCACAAGCTTTTAGAAGGTGTCCATGGGAATTTGTGCTGGTTTGTGAGGTCAGGTACTGATGGGCCAGCTCAGTGAATTGCTTTAAAAAAGGTCTGGATTCTGTGAGGCCTTTTATAGAGGAGTGTAAGCCAAATCATATCCAATCAATTTCATTTACCACAAGTGGGCTCCAATCAAACATTTCAGCAACGATCAAGAGAAATGGGAGGCTCCGGAGATAGATTCCAAGTGTTGCTGCAAAGGGTCTGAATACTTGTGCCAATGTGAAATTTCAGTTTTTCCTTTTTCCTACATGTGCAAACATTTCTAAAATTCTGTTTTCACTTTGTCATTGTGGGGTACTGAGTGCAGATTAACGAGGGGAAAAAATTAATTTAAACAACTGTAGTATCAGGCTGCAACACAACAACATTGAAAACAGTGAAGGGGGTCTGAATACTTTATGAATTCACTGTATTTGTATACTGGAAGCATCTAAGTTCAGTCATTTGGAAGGGGGGTCCATATAGGTGTGATGGTCTGATCTCCAGAAAGTTCAGGTCATATAGTGGACTCCCAAGTGTGGCTGCCAGTCCATCGTATTCAAATATGAACCTTTAGGACTAGCCAGTACTAATTAGTGAGACAGCATGTTTGCAGCAGGCAATGTAAAAGCATTTCTGTATAAAATACAAAAGCTCGGAAGAGCTCAACTACGTGATCCCTGGTATAAAACCATCCTTTCACCTAAATTTCTGCCTTTCTGTGGTGACTAAAGCTTAACAGAGTGCTGTGTTCTCTCGTTAGATTTCATTTTCGAGTCTCCTTTGTCCTCGTACCATGCTCTGATTACCATCCCCATTAACAGCTGCTTCTCACATCAGTGGGTATGAGATGGCACAAAGCTCTCGTGGATGTGCAGGTTGTACAGAGATCAGAGCGGCTCTTTTTCCTGCCGTTTTTATTGAGCTTATGACCCGCTGGCCGGGCAAGTCATGGCTTCTAATAAATTGAAGGCCAATTAATAAATTTAGCATTGTATGTATTCTTTACTTCATCTTCCATCCATTCCAGTATCATCATTGGCATTGTAAAGCTTTGCACCGTCTTCTCACGCGACATAGGACTACAGTTTTGGAGGTTATCAATCTTTATTGCAAAGCTGTACCTGCTTCTGTTCTGTATTTATCGAAATAAAGGGATGTTTGTACTCACCGTAAAATCCTTTTCTCCGAGTACATTGAAGGACACAGTAGATCTTTTGTTGCGTTCTTTGAAGGACACAACAGATCTTTTGTTGAGTTCATTGAAGGACACATTAGGATCTTCCAATGAGTTCATTGAAGGACACATTAGGATCTTCCAATGAGTTCATTGAAGGACACAGTAGATCTTCCAATGAGTTCATTAAAGGACACAGTAGGTTTTCCATTGAGTTCACCTAAAGAACACAGCAGATCTTTCATTGAGTTCACTTAAAGAACACAGCAGATCTTCCATTGAGTTCTTTAAAGGACACATCAGATCTTTCATTGAGTTCATTGAACAACACAGTAGGTTTTCTGTTGAGTTCATTGAAGGACACAGCAGATCTTTTGTTGAGTTCATTGAAGGACACATTAGGATCTTCCAATGAGTTCATTGAAGGACACAGTAGATCTTCCAATGAGTTCATTAAAGGACACAGTATGTTTTACATTGAGTTCACTTAAAGAACACAGCAGGTTTTCCATTGAGTTCACTTAAAGAACACAGCAGGTTTTCCATTGAGTTCACTTAAAGAACACAGCAGATCTTCCATTGAGTTCATTGAATGACACAGTAGGTTTTCTGTTGAGTTCATTGAAGGACACGGCCGATCTTTCATTGAGTTCATTGAACAACACAGTAGGCTTTCCATTGAGTTCATTGAACGACACAGCAGATCTTGCGCTGAGTTCATGAAAGGACACATCAAGCAATGTATGTATTCTTTACTTCATCTGCCATCCATTCCAGTGTCATCATTGGCATTATAAAGCTTTGCACCGTCTTCTCACTTCACATAGGACTACAGTTTTGGAGGTTATCAATCTTTATTGCAAAGAGGTACCTGCTACTGTTCTGTATTTATCGAAATAAAGGGATTTTTGTACTCACCGTAAAATACTTTTCTCTGAGTTCATTGAAGGACACAGTAGATCTTTCATGAGCTCTTTAAGGACACAGTAGATCTTCCATTGAGTTCATTGAAGGACATAACAGATCTTTTGTTGAGTTCACTGGAGGACACAGTAGGATCTTCCAATGAGTTCATTGAAGGACACAACAGATCTTTTGTTGAGTTCATTGGAGGACACAGTAGGATCTTCCAATGAGTTCATTGAAGGACACAACAGATCTTTTGTTGAGTTCACTGGAGGACACAGTAGGATCTTCCAATGAGTTCATTAAAGGATGTATTCTCTACGTCATCTTCCATCCTTTCCCAGTATCATCCTTGGCTTTATAAAGCTTTGCACTTTTGCACTGTCTTCTCACTCCATGTCTCCTGCATCCCCCCCCCCCACTCCTTCCCAGGTACCCCATTTTAAGGTAGGTCACTGCCTCCAGCCACATTAATTCTGAAAGAGAATGAGCGGAAATCCCCCATATAGTGTAAAATCACCCAGCAACTCTTCAGATTATTGCACTTACAATATTCTCAGGGCAATTGAAAAAAAAACAAACAAAACCACATACATATATGCCAGCACACCACGGATCTCAGTATGGTCCCAAAAGGTTTTTATTCCAAAAAGATCACATCACAAAGAAAAGTGCAATGTTTCGCAGCAGCGCAGGACCCCTTTGTCATCACATGCCTGACGAAGGGGTCCTGTGCAGATCCGAAACGTTGCACTTTTCTTTGTGATGTGATCTTTTTGAAATAAAAACCTTTTTTGCGCCATATTGAGATCCGTGGTGTGCTGGTGAATATGTACATTTGCCTATGTTTCCAGTCCCAGCTGGTAGTTGCTACAGCACCCGCTATGCTTCTGAGTCACTTCTGTTGAGAGATGACATCAGCATGTAGCTCCACCCTACGCGTTTCGTCATATGTCAAAATACCATAGCAATAAAACCACAGACTATACACCCTTTCCAGACTGTACAATCTATCCTGGAGCTCCAAGTAAAGTTGGCCATACCTGATAAACCAGCCATAATTTGCTTGGTGGGTGGCCCAACAAGCCCCATACCACCCCCCATCCAGTGACTGTATCCAATCAGAGGCAGCTGCAAGAATACAACAGTCCAGCAGGGGGATTCACATCTGCAATGTACAGCAAGGATGGAGGAATTCATCAGCATGTGGCCAGCCTTAAAGCAGAAGTCAGAATATATCCGCTCTCCCCGGACCCGGCGTTCCACTATATAGCCGCTCTCCCCGGACCCCGCGTTCACTATAGCCGCTCTCCCCGGACCCCGCGTTCACTATATCCGCTCTCCCCGGACCCCGCGTTCACTATAGCCGCTCTCCCCGGACCCCGCGTTCACTATATCCGCTCTCCCCGGACCCCGCGTCCACTATAGCCGCTCTCCCCGGACCCGGCGTTCACTATAGCCGCTCTCCCCGGACCCGGCGTTCACTATATCCGCTCTCCCCGGACCCCGCGTCCACTATATCCGCTCTCCCCGGACCCCGCGTCCACTATATCCGCTCTCCCCGGACCCCGCGTCCACTATATCCGCTCTCCCCGGACCCCGCGTCCACTATATCCGCTCTCCCCGGACCCCGGTCCACTATATCCGCTCTCCCCGGACCCCGTCCACTATATCCGCTCTCCCCGGACCCCGCGTCCACTATATCCGCTCTCCCCGGACCCCGCATTCCACTATATCCGCTCTCCCCGGACCCCGCGTCCACTATATTTGGACTCCCCGGACCCCGCATTCACTATCCGCTCTCCCGGACCCCGAATTCACTATATCCGCTCTCCCCGGACCCCGCGTTCACTATATTTGGACTCCCCGGACCCCCGCGTTCACT